GCCACTATTTATAATTTAATCGTATAGATATGACTATATATTTTGAAATATATATAAAAGCTACCTTTTTAAAAAAAATATATCAAATAAAATAATAAAAATGTTTTTATGATTGGTAAAACTTATTAGAATTGGTTTAGTTCAAGAAAACATTGTAAATTTAAATATAGTATATTTCATAAAGGTAAAAATTTGCAAAATTAATAGAAAACAGGAATTGGCAGCAGATAATTTTTTTATATGTCTTTTTTTACGTGGAGCAAAATATAAACCTCTTAGTGCATCAAATATAAGTTTATTTACCACTTGAGGCGTAAACAAGTTCTTCACTCAAAGTCATAACTTGAAAACTTTGAACAATTTAATATTTACTCAGTTTTTACAGTTAATGTTTCTTCGCCTTATTTTTCTTTAACTTAGACATTTTTTGGGTCAACATAAACGTGGTGTATAAGTTTATTTCATTCTTATTTAGTTTAATCCTAGTATTTAATATCGGTCCAATTATTACTTAAACAATATTCGAGTAACAGTTCAATGTAAACAAACTTTTGATATATATATTAACGAATTGTATTATAGTTAGGTGCATTATTCAACTACAATTTGTTTTCATACATTTATTATTAGAATTCTGCAATACTATTGTTTATTTTAGGTGTATTAATAATTGAGTTTTGAATTTATTACTAACTATAAATATTTTAAATAGTTATTTAGTTATTGGTGTGAAGTAAGTTTAATGAGACATCCAAATAATTTATGATTTTAACTTGATTTAAAGTATTTGCTGGTCTCTCTGAAGCATGATTTATTCTCTTAGAATAAAGTGCATAGGTATCTACATTTTTTAACGATTTCGTTTTTTTTTTTTTTTTGATACCATAGTACCATACAATATATCATATAAAATGACTATTTCAATAATTATGTGTTATAGAAGAGGGTATACAAGTACTATACTACAGATGTATTTATTCTCTAAGTTCACTTTTGGATATTTTACATATGAGCTTTACATGGAGTAATTTTTGGTTTTATATTCCACATATTTAATATAAGAGAAGCTGCAAGATATTAAACCTTGGTGTGATGTCCTCTTAAACTATGTTCTACTTTATATTAAATATTTAATCGGTCGGTTCATCTGGGCAAGTTAATATAACTAGTGATTCCGTTGATTAATATTGTTTGATTCCTTTCCAAGTAAAGGTATCACATCCCAAATTAAATTAATTAATTTTGGATGCTGAGTAACCTGAGTAACTAACAATTTATAATGACATGTACATCAAATCAAATGGTATTAGATTCATTTTAAAATTTTTTTTTATAATCAATCAATTTTTTAAGCTATAATACTAATTATATTGACTAGATGAACAAATCTATTGAATGCATTCAATGCGATTCTAAAATTCAATTCAATTATAAATTTGTGATGAAATTTGAAAAACTACACTTAAATTACTTTTAGTTGAAAAACTACGAATATTGTATTACAATAACATTTTGTTCTTATTATAAATATATTGTGTATAGCTCATGTTCTGATTTTTAAGTAGTTCTGTGGGTATACAGATTAAAAATATTTTCATATAATTATCTAAGATTATTTTATTTTATACTATTTATTAAAATATTAAATTGTGGAACTAGTCTATTGATATAGATTTGTAAATAAATAAACCATACTCGTAAACGATATATATAATAATAAGTCATTGAATTTGTTATAATATTGTAAGCCAAATGTTCATAGATTTCTGAAAGTTGATAATTTAAAACTAATAATCATGTTGGAGTAGGTATGTATATTACGAACGTCGTACATAGATTATTTCATTGTTTGACCAGCAAATTATTTTAAAAATTAACACTTACATAACGGCAACTTACCATGTATTATGTGATCTTAAAGAATATAATATCATTCATTTATAAACAAGTGTATGGCTATGTATCACAATTTATCTTTTTGTATTTTAAATGATCAATGAGTATTATTCTAATTTCGAATGGTTTCTAAATTTAATTTACTGAATACATATTTTTGTAGAAGTATCTACTATTTAATAATATTATTACCAATCTATTTTACATCAAAATATTCACTAATTGATAAATATTAATTAAAAAACTATGCTACATACTGAATCGTGTACCTACAAATTTAAATGTGGAAATAACAGCAAAATAATTAATTGATAAGCTTAAACAAGTTAATATAATATGTATTTCAAAACATATTAACTTGAATACCTAGGTAAAAAAAAAACTACTCAAATGCACTAAGGATTATTTTAATGAGAGGTCACAAGTGTAATAGGGATATATTTTATATTTTAGTAATTCAATATGAATACATTTATATTTTATATATTATTGATCAATAATAGAACAGTTTTTTGAAAAAATGTCTAAAAATAAATCATGTTTTAGATACTGAGTGAAGCAAAAGTATTGGTGTTGCAGAAATGGTTTGTTTTCAAACAAATACATTTATCTATAAACACTTTTTACGAGCAAAAGGAATGCAATACGCGTATAGTATTTAAACTTTATAGTACCTATACCTACCTCAATGATTCAGAAATATTATCTAGGTAGTACTTTGGAAAGCTCATTTAACAATATTTTTCATTAGTTTCTCTACCCATGAAGAAAATCTACGTTAAAATTGTTTTGAACAAATGTTATCAGGATAAGTTTAACCGAACCCTGCTTAAAATCGTTTTTCAATAGTTTAACCATTGATTTCAAATTTAATTTCGTAACACGCTATTATTGTATAACACATCCATCCTCCTTATTGGCCTAACATAAACAGCAATATCGGCTGTTATTATTATGAAATGTTTTCAATTATTGATCTTCGTGAATTCTCCACTCGATTTATTCTAAATGTATTCCCAGGAGATAAAAACAATCAAGTATACCTAACGTATAAAATAAGTGGACCTCTAAAGGATTTGTATATGGATAACTAATGGGTTAGAAGACATACCCACATTAATATGCATCATTACGAGTAACTAACATATTATAAGTAAGTCACTCTGAATTATACAGAAAGAGTCAATTATAATATTCTGTTCAAAACTACATTCGAACAACTAATAGGAATTTCGCCGAAAATTATTTTAAGTTTACATACGATTGAAATTTGTTATGTTTCTCATTTGAAATTAAGAAGAGGTTATAAATTCCTCTTTGGTAGTAATTATAATATATATACTAGCTGATCCCGTGCACATTGTTGCCCTTTAAAAATTCCGACTCTATATGAGACTCGATGGTGATAATGCGAGCAGTATATTATGCCTACCTTCTGTAGATTGCGGACCCCGATTGATGAGTACTTTATATAAATAATATGTTTTATTTTAATTTTGATTTCGGACAAGCCGATGAGCGGCTATAAGCGCAACTCAGTCACCTTAGTAGGCAATATACGCAACATTCAATTGCATGCATGCTTATACCTGTTCTACCCGATGAACTACTGCAGGCAACCAATAAAAAAAAAAATGCCAATCTCTGCAAAATATATTTATATTTCTCCTATAACCAATAGCAACCGTATATAAACAATTAATAATTCCCTCGTAAATCTTAAAATCCCTGTTTGAGCAACTCCCCTGACCGATAGGTCCTATCGGGTCCTACTGTGAATCTAAACATCCAAGGCGTCACCCAAACGTATACAAGAAAAATCATTCAAATCGGCCCAGCCATTTCAGAGGATTTCAGTGACATACACAAGTACAGTATAATTAAATATATAAATATAATATAATAAATCTATAATTTAATTTATAATATTGGTAACTAATAGTTTGGAAAAAAATAGCTCAATTAAAATCTAAAAGACAATAAATAATTTACTATCGTAACATTTTTTTTATGAACTATTTATGAACATCGTGTAGGTAACACATTTTAGAGAAATCAAAAATCATAAAAAATATTTTTTGTATAAATTACTTTTATATTTCAATATACTTAAATAATAATATTGTACTATTTAACAATTTTGAAATGAGCATATTTTATTCAATTCAGCTCCCTATATACTTAGCTAGGTAGTGTATTGCAATTGTTCAATTAACTTGAAATAACTTATTGTCGCAAGTTGGAAATAATTTGTTATATTTGTAACATATTATTTTATATTTTTTCTAAACATTTTTCATTAAAATGTGAAAAATTATTAATTAGTTCATACCATATTATTTTGAATAGTATTAAGATCAGAATTGCCAATTAAATTATACATTAATAAGAAATCTACTATCTACTTCGCTTATAGGAATATTTATTTTAGATATTAAAAATGTAAATAATAATATAATCATAGGAGCATCTGTGCAATAAGTAAAATTATTTTGAATGCTTGAATTTTTTATTTTTTTTATAGTATAACTTTTAAACAAGCAGAAACAGCAAACTAATCGAGTGAAAGGGCTGTATACTTCTTTAATAACTGCTTAACTGCTTTACTCATATCAGTGAAATCAAATAAGTATGTTTAATTTAAAATGGAAACATACAAGTAATATAATAAATGTCAATGAATGTGGTTCAATACAAAATATTCAGTATTGTTAACATTAACAAAATGTTCTCAACAAATTTTTTAAAATTATAAATTGTTTTTAGATTATTCTCATCCTTTTTAAAATATTATCTATTACCTATCTATGAACTTAAAATACCTAATATAACCACTCTATTTATCGTAACAAAAATTTTGACCAGCTATACCTACCAACATTAACATTATATTTTGTTTATAAACTTAGTATTAAAAGTCAAGGATTTCTGTTGTAATTAAAATTGTGATTCTTATAAAACTTAATATTGCAACCATTGTAGTACGCTAAATTGCTTGCACTAATAATAATACTTTAATAATAATAATTATAGTACAGTGTTCAATTATTTTTGTATAATAAATACCTACCTAAGACTATTTTTTTAGTTTTGAAATATCTTACCTTCGCTCACGTAAACATTGACCGTGTCAGGTTCAGTGTACGGCGCTGTGCATGTGTAATTTCCCAAAGCTGACGGAGATGCCCCTCGGATAAATAACCTACTCTGAATGGTATTGTCAGGTTGTATGACTTCCGTAGTTACCATTATAGGACCTGGATCATCTTTCTTGTTATTTTGAGTATTATATATAGGAATTCCATTATGAACCCAAACGACATTCCTTGTTGACGAGGATCCCTTGAAAAAAAAAACAATAATAACAATATATTATAGCAATGGCCGTTGAGATAATAGATTATTATGAACAATATGATCAGAAATTTTTCAAAAAATATTCCTACGTATTATATTTTAAGTGCTGATACTATCAGTCATAACTAAATAAATAGTTATGAGATCACAAAAAACAGTTATTGACAGTTTTGCACACCAACCTACCCGGCCACAACCCCACTAGTCTACACACAAAACCATTGCTTGCAGTTCTCTGCGACGTTTCATTGGTCGGCAAGGCTAATAGAATATGTCTTATAGAAGTTGAGAACTAGGCGATAGATGAGGCACTCGTGGCCAGGGTGGTATGAGTAACACAAAGTAGCGATCATACCTATTTTTTTAGTTATATGGTATTAATGTCATTGTTATAATATTTTAGTTTTCAATAATTGGAAACAAATTTATACTTTAATGACTTATGAGTTATGAATCTATATACTAATTTAATACATGTATGAAGAAAACACATTTGTTTGTAAGATAATCAGAAAAGTAGGATGTAATATTAAACACTTTTTATTCAATTGCATACAATATTTCACTTGTTAATTGTGTAATGATTTCAAATTTAATAGTTCACTAGATCCATGGGGTCTATAATCATATTGAAATGATTTCTTGCTGAGCTCTCAAAGTACTTTGTTTCGTAATGACTACAGTTTTAATTTAAAACTTAAATAATCTACTAAAGCACATTTTTGAGTGTAATCAGTCTGAATACTTGGATACAGTTTTACTGTATGGAATTCACATACTACTTACGACGCCTAAAAGAAAGAGTAAAACGTAGGTTTTTTCGAATCTCTGATTTTTATTAAGTGTTTCACATGTAGCTCATAACTATATCCACATAAATTGTGGATATCCATGACTCAAACTCTCTGGTCGATAGCAGGGAAACGTTAGAATTTAAATTCCTTCTTGAATTAATTGGAAAAGGTAGTTCTTCTTACCTACTACCACTATTGAATTCTAAAGTTACTCAAAGACACACCAGATTACAAACTCCATTCTTTATTTTAACTTACACTAGTAACTATCTATCCGACGAACCAATGAGGCGTCTTATATTAAATATTAATGAAAAATATGGTAAACCTACTTTTTGTATTACCTTAAACTTGAGAGTATTGTAGTTGTTTTTCTATAATGTATTATGTTGAAAATAATTAAATTATAATAATAATTTATATTGTAAATTTGTAACAAAATTTTAAAAAGTCTAAGTGAAGGTGCTATAAATAAATTATATGATGTGCTTATAAATAGAGCCAAGCGCAGAGTCTTCGCACAAATTGGTATAGTATTCGTAATGATATATCATTTAATTAATATTTAGCTCAATATCCATTACATTTATCTACTCAATGACGAGATATTCTCAAAACCTGTTCTTCCTACAACAGAGTCAGTTTTTTTTATGAATTGAAGTCTCCGAATCCGTGTCATTCGTTGTAAATAATTGTTGAATAATTATTTATAATTTATTATCATGTCTTAGTTGTTTCACTGTTTGTTATTATAATTCTTAGTGTAGTATAACTGACACTTAATATGATATTTGTATAAAATATTTACGAATTATTTTTTATTTTTTTTATTTTGTTTTTATTAGGATGTGCCTACTGCAACATATGCCATTATGTGTGGCCGTGGGGGTATTACGGTAGAGGTTTTTTGAATATTTTTAGTAGGTCAGTATGTTGGCAGGGTTGAAATACGTGTTTGTGTATGTGTGGCAAAAATATGTTGCTAAAAACCCGGGTGGTCACACATCCGGCATTTAGCAACTCCAGCCGGTAAGTACACTCTGAAGGTTTCCGCAGATTGAGAGCACACCTCACTCACCAAGCCACTTACAGATTAAGAATTCGAATACCTACTATAAGTTTGTAGTTAAACAAAAATATCATAGTTATAGCTGGAAATATACTTGAACAAATAACTATGTTTTTGCGAATTTTTAACTATTTATTAAACTATCTACCAACATATTGGTACTACAAATGCATAGGTATACTTATAAATACTACAAACTTATTTTACATTATTAAATCTTTTCACGGAGTTAAATACGACACATTATTATGTTTGATTATCAACATGAGTGCACATGTTTCACGTTCTGAGAATAGTTCACAGTAAGTATTATTAACGGTTCATTGGATAATCTTTGGTACGGAGAACTCGTCGGACAAGAATGTAGTAAAAGTTTTTTTGAAGTTTTAAGAAATATTTTGTGTTTAGAATGATTACGCATCGTGCACATCATTGATGAAACTATTGATACTGCTTTGATATGATATTGTGTTGTGTATATGATAATATTGACCGGCCTTTTTTGTCATTTGTTAGTTAGGTATAATATATTGTATTTATTTTGTACTTATTATTAAACATTTAGGTCAAGAAGATGATTTTTTACTAAACATTATACTTATCAGTAACCCTATTTTAAGTAGTTATGAAATTAGGATAGGAAAACAAAAAAAAATTTGACATTTGAAAAACCAAGGTAATATTAAGAAGAATTGTAAGATTTGATTTCATATTTTAAATATTTTTACCATTGATAAAAGCAACACATATTTATATGACTAGAAAATATTTTATTGCGTTTAAGTGTATAAATATTTTTACAATTTCACTCATCTTGAAAAAGTAAAACATTTTAAATCGAATCAAACAATCGTTTAAGTACAATAAAAATACTCAACAATATAATGCAATTGTAGTGCAAAAAAAGACAAAAAAAAGAATACGGAATGTTTTTATATTTTTTACAACAACAGTTCAAACGTTTTAATAGTATGTGTTATTTGTAAACTTTTATTATTTGAAACTTTAAATTTACTACAGAAATTGTAAAATATTTTCGAAAAAGACGAAGACTGCAATTTTTGTGTTTGGTATTTTGTTATATTACTTTGAGCGTTTTAAATAGTTTAAGCCTATATTGACACGTGATACATAAAACTAAAGAATAAACCACTATCATTTGAACAATATTGTATTAATATTTATGATGTATTTTTTTAGATTTTTTTTATAACGGTGAATTGATTAATAATTTGATGATCAGACTATATATCGTTTTTGCCAATTATGTACAATAACTCTACTAGCGCCTAACCATACATCTCATATAAATGTCGGCAGTTAATTGATAGAATAATTCTTAAATTTGTGTCCGCACTATTATAGCGTTCAAACATGTCCGTACAGAATATTGTGTATTCGTATATAGATTTATGGATATCTTATACATATCTTATAAGTGTGATGACATGTGCAACTTTCAAATTTTCACTGAAAAGGAAAATTTGAACAAAAAATAATTAAAGTGTGTGATACCGTCGTTAGTTTGATAACAAATGAATTATAATTAATACTTATCATGCATTTATAAATACATTAATAGCCAGGTACCTTTAGCCTTCAAATAACGACAATTATTACCATTTGATAAATTATGTACTAAATAACTGGTTATTGGTTAACCATAATATGCCTATTATAAATTAATTTAGCTAAACATAATATTTTATTTTTGAATATTGAATAAAAAAATGAAAATAAAAATCCATATTGTTTTTTGTTGTTAAGCAACCGAAATCATGATAAATTGGTTGCTTATTTCTTCTAAAATATCCCATAAATAAGTAATTGTATACCTTTAATAATATGTATATGTATGAGAACATATACTACCTTCACATAAAATACTTATTGTGCTAAAAGTATAAAATATATATAATGATTTATTTGTATGAAACTATGCAGTGCATATTATACTTGAAGTAAAACCCCAATTTGTATCAAACAGAATAAAACGGTTATGTATAAATCCTACTTCTTAACCATATATTAGATATATATTAATTAATTGGAACTCGAAATGTCAAACAGTGTGTATTTTTAGTAAAAAGGTTTCGTTAAATAACTATTGGTCCTTCAATAGAAAAACATCATCACATACAAAAGCATACTTAAATTTTGTCTTGTTGTCCTGGAAGTACTTTTAGTAGTTTTAAAAATGCGTGGTACATTTTTTGCGAAAATTAAATTATTAAAATGTATGCTTTTGTCTGTTATCATTCCTTGACATCCAACACTTGCAAAAATAAAACAATAGTTTGCATATATAGTTCTACTACAGGTATATCCACGCTAAAAGTTAAAATTTAATTTTAATCATCAGCATCTACCTAATCCTATTAAAAGGCTGCATTACGACGTGTTTACCGTCAATGGAACATTCTGGAAATTCCATAGCTCATTAAAGTCATTTGATATTGTAACTTATACCCGCCTACAGATTTCGATTTTAGGCACCTACTACAAAATCGTGTAAGAACGTATTGGTATAACAATAAAGTGGCACTAATAATATTATTAAGCCGGTCGTACACGACCCCTGAACTCAGCAAATAACCGTCAATCGAGAAGCTTTACGAATCAAGTAGGAGAAGTTTAATCGTCAAATATGGCGACTATTTTTACTCACTGAGCCATTTGTCGTTTCCCATCGGTTGTTGATAAATCCACGATGTTCGGCAAGTGTACGAGTCGTGTAGGGGAGACATAATTATCAAGTCAAAATACTCGGCAAACATACGTGATTACGATGCTCGCCAAGTACACAAGTCGTCTGGGACCGGCTTTATATAATATTCGTCACTCATATTGAAATGAAAGAGGGTAAGTAGATGTCACTTTACTGTACAATAGGTTACAAGTGCGTCACAGTAATGAAGGGTGTTTTTCAATGGTGAATTCAACGACATGAAATCATTGTACACGAAAAACGATATTGAGCGAAGACGGTCAGTCAGTTAATAATATTACTTAGTTATTACTTGATGGTGTTATCGTGATTAAAGTAATTTTTTAACTATTATTAGTACTACAGTAGTAGCTACTTTAATAATGTAAAAAAAAAAATACCTTTAAAAAGTCAT